CGGTCTTCTAATCGGCTAACTTCCTGTTCAGCCTTGTACTAACTTGAATGGGGATAAAATAATTCAATCATGCGCCTCTTCTAGACTTTCCAAATGTTGTCGGACAGAATTGATCAAATTCTGAAAGGGAAACGAGTCATTTCGTGGGGGTTGGGATGCTCAAAACCATTTATACATCGTTTAGCAGTCAACAGTAGCGACGGAGTAGGATACGACTGAGCCTGTAGTGTAAGTTTAAGTGAAACACACATGCTGCATGTTTTTAGCTATTATTTCTGACATAAATAATGTGTTGTGAAACAATTCTAAGATCTTACTTTACCTGGAACTTAACAAATGACTCAAATTATTAGATGGTTAGATTAGAGGTCCTATTTCCCCAAATGGCAAACTGTAAAGATACTTTTTATTCCTCATGGGAATCTAATTTTCCCATGAGGAATTAAAAAAAAGATCTCATGGCTCACCTATTGTATAAAACAGCTGGTAGTTGTCACACGTTGAATGTGTTAGTTTATCTGCACAACATGTCTGTGTCTTTAATTGTTTGTGTACAGCGGTATACTAGTGTAGTGTAATGTCCTGTGCATACCGTGCATGTGGCTCCAGTTAATGTGAATGTGAGCCTCTCCCGAACATCTGTCAAAGATTAGCAGTAAAGTGAAATAGGCAGTTCCTGCTCATACATTCCAAAATAATCTGGCAGTAATTTCCCCAGTAAAGGATGAAAAGGGGGAGGGTGTATCGGTCAGAAACTCTACACAAACCCAGCTCTGTCGAAGCATATGTCTTGTGTTTAACAAGATGCAAGCGCCAAAAGGCCCATGCCTGGACAGCTCGGATGTTATGGGCGTGGCTGAAACACAGCAGGAGAACGTTAAAGGAACTGTCAAACAAAGAAATATTGTCGAGACGGCAGATTAATCCAAGAAAGCATCCGCTCACTCCACCAGCGTGACCTTTATTTTTTCACCTCGGACGTCTTTGGCTGCTATACAAATCAACCTGCATAGGCCCTCGAGTAGTAGGAATAAAACCACTTATAATACAAAGCAGGTACACTCTCACCTACAAACACTCTCCTTCTAAGCATGGAGTCCAGCTTGCTGCGACAGAACAGGAAGGCCGTCTGACTAAAAGCACAGAAATCAATGAAACATGAAGAATCCCTCAGGTACAAAAGAAGCACGTTTTGTTATTCAGGGAGGCACGCTGTCATTCAAAGGCTGTACACATCAGGGGGGGAAAGTGCTTAGAAGGCAAATCAGTATTTGTTAATGATATGGGTCAATTGTTTTGAGGACGGCTTGACCTCTGTGCTCATCTGTAGGCCTCTTCGACCACCCTCGGTACAGGTTTTGTATTCCAGAGTGCTCTGTCCTTGCTGAGCCATTCAGATTTGCCACTTTTGCTTGGAGTAATAAAATCCTTTCTTGACGGAAATCTGTTTACACTTTGTTCTGCATGTCAAATCGTTGACATTGTAGGTGGAAGTCAGTTTACTATCTGGAGCGATGCACCGCCAGCTATTTGCTATTCTTCCCTCAACAGCCGCATCTTTACTCTGCTGTACCTCCTATAGCTTGAACGTAATATCTACTGGATACTGATTCTTTGGCACATATTTGTATTGTGATGCTGTGCTTGGCGTCCCTCTGTTATGTGTGCTGAAAGTGTTGATTTGTCTGCATCCCCGTTCCTCAAGTAAACTCCTGTAAATTAATTCGACCAGCTAATTATTCAATCGTCCACGCTTGTACAATGTGAGATGAAGGTTGACTCGCTGCAGGGCTCCTCACCTAACCGACAAATGCTTTAAATACCGTGCACGTCCACGTCCCGCAAAGCAAATCTGCCAAACTCATCACACGCTCTCGGAAAAAACAAACACGCTCAAAGCTGGGAATGTACAGGATGCCACATGATACCGCTGAAGAATAACACGCCTCAACAGGAAGATCAAAACGGAGACTTAATGTATGGTAACTAGACGTCAAATATCGAAATGTCTCTGGGTTTGCAGGAATGTCAGGAGTCTGTGGCCGGTTGTGTGTGTGTGTGTGGGAGTGTGATTCAGGCGCAAACACATCAAGATGTCACTTCATAACCTCTGGCTCAGGAGGCTCCTGTCATCTTCACATTTCAGAGATGCTCTGCCTACCCCGGCAGACATGCTAAATATAGAATGGGGACAGAATTTCTGTTTGGAGCCACTGCTCTCTTTATCTGCATCTAACACTAGCAGGCGTGCACAGGCACCACCGTCTGCTCATTGTTATACACACGTGTGTGCATGCAATGTGGACACACGGGCATCAGCACGGACGCTACTGTCAAGACGCGACTGCATTCCCATAATCACTCACATGGCTTCGTCTTGCAGATCGAAAATTTGACTCCACCAAGCCAGGGTGCAGAGGTTTGGATATCACACAAAAGAGCTGCTCGTTCTATCCAATTACATTTCTGTCAAGTGACTTATGCGATGTTATTACTTCTCGGACAGTCATTTTCAAATCCGCTCATTCACAATCATTTAATCGTTTCACAAGGACAGATAGGCAATCCATCACTGGCGTCCTTTACCTGGGTGAATCTACCACACGGTTACTCAGTTACTCTATTTGACCTTGTTCTGTTTCTTACTTCGTATCGAGCTACGGAACTCCCCGTGGCAATTAATTGTGCTACTTATCTGTAATGTGAACAGTGGATATTACATCTCCAGCAGATATTAAATTAAGGACATCTCAGGACTTGCGAGGCCACAGCCAAATAAAAAGGAAATGAGGCCCTATTAATGACTATCGATTCTTTTATAATAAAACAGCCACTTCCTCTCTTTACTTGGCCTCGGCGTTGATCTTGAGCTAATACAGGCTATATAACTTTTGAAGAAATGTCCTTCAGTCCAGTGCAGCAGAGCAGCCTATAGCTTCTCCCTGGTCAAGTGAAAATGCTCTTTTGGCTGACTGGCAAATCATTTGCTGTAGAATGAGAGACACATGGCCCCGGTTGCTGTACTGTACTGGACATTGACCCTTATGGTATCGTTTTCAGCTGCATTGTTTTATAGTCATATCTTGTGACATGACAGGGGAAGGAGAAAATGCCTCACCATGGCAACAACAAGCCATTTAATACTCTAGGCACAGGCTGATGGCTATTTTAAGAAAAGCGCACTATTATTATAAATATTAGGGGAATAACATGCTGCTGTATGATTTCAGGTGTAATGTGTTCACCTTGGCATTGCTGGCTCAGCTGAGCAATTTGTTGTGTTTTTTAAATCTTCGTCATCATCATCATCAGTAGGGAACTGCTATTTAGATAATCATAATTAGCTTGAATCACATCAATATCTAATACAACCAGGCTGATGGCTGAAAGCAAAGCACATTATGCTATGCAGTGTCCACTGCCGAGTCAGCTGCCTGCACAGGATCAGTGGCCCATCACCACTGAGCACATACTATGGATTCACTGGTTGACCAATGTAAAGCTTAACAAGTCAGCTTGTATGCAGGTCCACATATTATCTCTATCCTTCCATCTTCTATATACCGCTTATCTTATTCAGGGTCACAGGGGGACTGGAGCCTTTCCCAGAATGCATCGGGCAAGGGGCAGGGTATTCTCCTGAAAGGTCACCGCAATACATAACTGCAATAATGGGAGCCGGAGACCACAAACATTGCAGGCATTTACAAGCCGTCAGCACAATCCACATCCAGCATAAGCAAATAATGGCAGCTGTGTGTCTAAACTGAAAATATGACACAAAAATGATTCTTTTGATTTCTGTCCAGACTGCGACGCCACGAACAGCGAGCATCGCTCAGACTAGAGCACGACTTTTGGACTCAAACCAAAGCAGAGGAGCCGCCATCTCTCGGTTGCATTTTTCCTCATATGACCACTTTCAACTATACTGCTACTTTAACGCTGGGGCTTCCGAACATTTTCATACCAAGCACTCTTATTCATAGTCACTTCAGATGCAGAAGCCTTTGAAAAAACGCTGGTTTAACCCCAGTTACACCAGGCTACTGTTGGGATTTCACTGCAGGTGATGAGACAGCAGAAAGGAGTGTGAAACCTCTTACTGGAAGTCATTTGTACACACTGTCTTTACAGTGCTACAGGAACTTCCAGTCAGTGAAGTCACAGTGGAATTAAACAATCCCTCATTTAGCTCTTAACCTGTAATGTCCCTTAGTACATTACTGTAATATAGAAGTAATAAGAGCTGTGTTGGTCACAGTATCAGCAATAGTGGCGGTGATGACATAAATAGACAAACAGAGCTTGATTTAAAATCATAGGAATATTTTTCAACTAACATTTTTTTTTTTTGTTTCAAACAAATGATGCATCCCAACAAATTCCAACATTTATTTTCTTTCTCAAAATGATATTCAGGACACTTAATATTGGGCCAAACAGTAAGAAACAGCATATTGAATATATCTACCTGTCTTTAGTTACTGTACGCACTGTGTTTTTTTTGTTCCTTTTGTCAAAATATGGTAAAAGGCATTTTGTTCATCTGCAGCAGGCCTGTTTTTCTGACGGATTGTAGATGTTCATACTGGGTCAATAGCTCTGGATCGCCGATCTAAAGGGAGGGGTCAGGTGAACTTTTATCCCCTTTAATTCCCCGAATCAGAGCAGCCTTGGAAACCGAGGTTGACTTGTGCGTTCTCATTTTTCAGATATGCCAAAATATAAATAGCAATTTCTTAACACATGCCCATTATAACGGCGTGAAGCTGAAAATTAAAAATAAATATAATCTGACATCATTCTGAATCAAGGCTGAAGTCATTTGCCAGATCTGTCGTTAAGGACGTTCAAAACAATAAAAATATATACAAAAAAAAAAAAAAAAAATCGTAGTAAATAATAACGAACATCGTCCGTAACAATAGGGAGACGAACACGCTCCGCTGCTCCTTAGACGAACGCATTCTCTTTTACAGGAACGAGAAGTGACTTACCCAGAAACAAAGAGCGGAATATTGCAGACATCACGGCTGGAAATCCCATATGCAACGGAGCTGGAAACAATGCGCTCAGACTGCCTTCAAATTCATTCGGCTGACCGAAGCGGCACCATCAGCGAATAGAGGAGCGAAATCAGAGACAATAAATCTTCAGAGAGCGTAAGAGTCCAAGGACACTATATGTTGAACACGCCCGACATATCTCTGTCTAAGCCTCCCAAGGAGCAGAACAAGAAACGTGGCTCTTTCCCTTCATCGTCATTTCCATCGCAGGATACTTGGCGTCAAATCAAAGTTCCCTGGCTGTCTGGCTCTGGCGTGGGACGTGTTGTCTCCGGATCCCCTCTGTCTCCTCCTCAGCAGTCTCTCCTCCTTTCCTCCTCCGCTGCACAAAATGCCAAAGAGGAGGAGGAGGAGGAGGAGGAGGGCGAATAGGTGGATGATGAGGGGATGCTGAAGGATGGAGACCTCTAGAGTCTGAAGTTCTCTTACACAGCCCGAGCATCCTGCAACAAACACTAAAAAGCTTGTTGAGAGGATGATGACCTCTTGTTAAGTGTTGCAGACACTGAGCGAGCTCATTTCTTTGATATGAATGGAATTAATGTTGCCATTAATGGAAATCTTGTTTTGAGCAAATACAAGTCCTATAATAAAGGACGGCACATGGGTTTATAGTGAGTCGGACTATTTTATCCTAGATTTGACTATATTATTATGGGGAGAGTGTTATGTTGAGGTATTTTGCAATCGGATCACATGACACTATGACACTGCTTTAACGTTATACATGATTTTAACAGTGCGCTGTACTTTAAAGGGCTGAAATGATGAATCGGTAATGGATGAGTCGACAGAAAATGTTTGCAGCAACTATTTTGATGATTGATTAATCGCTGAAGTGAAAATGCTAACCCTTACAATTTCCAAAATGTAAAGATTTGACTGCCTCTCTTTGCCTCATGTGGTTCTAAAGTGAAGGATTTTGGAATGTTGATCACTTTGGACTCTGCATATGTTCGTTTGAGATTTAATAGACCAAACTATTAATAAATGAATCCAGGAAATCCTCTGCAGATTCATTCGTAATCAATATAATTGTGATTCGCAGACCTAGTATTGTTGTGTATTTGTATGCATTCACCGCTCATGGTAATAAAGACTACAGATATTTTTTTCATCCGTTTTAAGGACTTCAACTGTCAGGCTAATCTGGTGTGATTTTACATCAGGAAACAAGAGAAACAGCATGTTCTAAATTCAAAAGCATGATATATTAAAAAACATTATTATTTGTCGACCAGCTTCTCAATCTTTGGATCATTCTATCAATCATTTCGAAGTTGCCACCCAAAATGCATCCCATCACTGGCTTTGGGTAAGATATTTTACAAGTGCAGCATGGTCTGAGTGAGGTAAACAAGCAGCAAGGGGGAGTTCTGCTGTCTGCTGAAGGCTGCTCTCAGACCTTGAGACAAATTAATCTGCCCCTTTCTGCGTCTCAACAGTCTACAGAAATAACAAAAGGATTTTCACTCGCCAGTGGCCCCTCTTCTCTCTCTCTCTCTCTCTCTCTCTCTCTCTCTCTCTCTCTCTCTCTCCCCCTCGAGTGGCCTGCTCTTCAGCACCAGCCCTCCTCCATTCGTTTCCGTTCCAATAACTAGATAGCTTGAAAAAATGTCTCACATGCTCAAGTAGACACTCACACACACCCCATCTCTCCTTCTCTCCTGTTCTCATTGCAGACACAAAGAAACACATGTAAGCAGAGAGCAGTCGATGACATACAGAGGGAGGCGGCAAATACATAATTCCAGAAACTTGCAAGAGGAGGATGAGATAAGACACGCTGACGTGATGTCCTCAGTCTTGTGTGTTTAGGTATTTTGTTCAGAATGACACTCGTCTGCGTCTTTTTTGTCTTTGCTTGTGCTGCTTTGTTTAGCTTTGTATTTCCAGCTGAATATAAAAGGTCAATAGTCTCATTGCAAATCATCTCTGCCGAAGTCTGCGTTCTCAGAAGCCAGCTGCAACGCAGCGTAGTAAAGCAGAAAAGCAGAAAAAAAATTACTCGAAACTGCCACAAAATGAGCTGTCAAACTATGACGGATGGCTGCTTGTAACAGACACGTTTGCCCCTGCAACCACCACAGTCCTACGGTAATCTAAGTTCAGATAAAAAGCCTTTATTGAAAACGCACCTGATAGCCAACATATATTACGTCTGTGTTCAATTCCCCCCCCCCCCCCCAAAGCAGGCACGTCTGCAGCACGAAGCCATCTGGATACAGGGGTAGAGCATGCAGCTGTACAATGCATTACACCACACTGATGTTATCATGATTGCTCCTTTAAAAGATGACCTCACTTAAGGGATGAAAACCCTACTTAAAATATGGGGCAAATCCATTGTTGATAGTGGTGATTCTGCAATGTGTTGCTTGTCTCACTAGCAGCGTAGATAGTGCCATGGGAGGAAAGCTGCCTGCGTTTGGTGGCTTGGCCTTGGTGCATGATATAGCACCCCAATGCAGATGGCCTCACAGATGGTTGATATTTATACCACGGGGCCTTGAAAAGTCACTAGTGTGGAAAGTGCTCTTTCTCCACGATTAGTTTCACATCACCAAGAACACAGCGATCTCCACACACCCATTTCTCACTGCACTGAGAGCATATGACCAGCTGTAAAATGGATGATGACATATTTGGAGAAATATAGTGCTTTTGAATCAATATAATTCACTATGTTGGGCTGCCCCTTTTTTGAGGTGATGATGTCGTGGGACCCCTCCGCCCTTTTCTTCTTTTCAGCGCATGGAAGCGTAATCCTCCTAAGTGCAAGGTCCATGATTTTTTAAAAATCTTCCAGACCCAACACGGCTTGCATTTTAGCTGTGAGCACTCTTGACTTATGTACTTTAAGTGGATTTGCAATTTGAATTTGGGCAACAAGACGCTCCTCAGACCTCCTGGCAGAGATGGAGCGCCTCAGTGAGAGTGTTCCCAATCCGCCAGAACAGCTGTATCTCCCTCATCATGACATCACAGGGACGTGTTCATGTGTTGTTGATGCACGGGACGACACCCTGCAAACACACACAAGCAGGCTGGGATGCTTGGATTTGGCCCCGACTCTCTCCTGACCTCGGGGAACGAGAAAAGTGGATAGTTAAAAGGATTCTTGAGTAACAATATGGATAGGGAAAAAAAACCTCTTTTGTTTAGGCCTCTCTATTTTTAGCAACCGCTGTGATGCTTCACCCTTAGTGTTTCACGGCTCGCAGATCCTTTATAATTTAATGAGGGAGAGGGCGGCCCTCAGAGATTTATGGCGAGCGTCTCAAGGCGGGCCACTCAGCTTATTGATCCAAATCTGATGTTTGTTTATGGGTCAGTAAAGCTCTTTCCCTCTGGTACCATGCAAGCCACCATTGGAACATTTAAATTGTCAGCTCATTCCAAAGCCAATAAAACAAATGCACTCCTGGTCAATGTTCATTATTTTAGTCTCTCTTTAAACATAAATAGCCAATCCTGACAGCCAGTGAGAGGTCAGCAGTGCCATGTAGTGTAGAGACCGCAGCCACGATGAAGAGCCAACTGAGACTACTGTCAACCTCTTCTTTCCTTTTCCTGCGTCATGTGTACATTTGCCTTTTACACAGAGGCCGGTTTGTTTATCAGGATCAATTCAGTTCTCTGTCCAACAACCACATGACACAGTCTGTTTTATTGTATTTAACATATTTACATATAACCTGTGATAAACGAGAAGGAGCCAGACTATTTCCGATCATCTCCTGCTCCGCATTCCTTGGAAGGAGTGCTTGTCTCCGTGTACTGTAAAGCCCAGAGAGTTCAAAAGTGGATGTTTCTCCTCAATTTATTTATGAGCCTTTCACGGGAAACATGAGGCAGAGAAGGATGGAGTTTAAAAACATGTTATCGTGCTCTAATTAAAGGGGCGAGGCAGACGACTGCATCAAATTCAGTGGCCCAGCAGCATTCCCAGTTTAACTTTACATCTGTTAGTCTGCTGTGAATAGGTACATGAATCAGCTGAATGGGAATGATTGAATGAATGAATGCATCAACCAAAGCAAGAGTAAATGGCTGCATAAACCAAGCGCACATGATGGTGTCATTTGGAAGAGTGAAATAAGACTGATTGTTGTTTATTTTAAAGTGCACCACTCCGTATTTGGGAAAAGTAATGATGTTAAATTGTTGCCTGCACCGGTTCAGGATAAACAAATCAATCACATTTGAATATAATTTCCACCGGATTGTACGGCGCATTAGAATTTGTTTTCCTCAACACTGGCAATTTCCACAGGCTGTATCTAGCATACAAAAGGGAAAATCCAATACATTTTCAATTAGAGGAGGTTGTTTGGGCTATTTAGACATGGATTTTCATTAGTGTGAGAGCCTGAATTAACACCACAATACTGTATGTATAATGTATATGTAGCCTGAGAGCAACAATAATATTACAATAAATAGTATAATATAAGACCCTCACAATTATTTCATTTTACTCAATATAGAAAAACTTAATTGATCCAGTGCTGGTCCTGACAAATTAACCTAATTTCAGTAAAGCAAACTTGTAAGCTAATTGTGCATTATTACAATGGTATACTGATATTCCGTGGCTCACTTTGCTCCTCAAAACCACCTCCCCTGCTCTTTTGTATGCGGATATATGAATGAAAAACTGTGGCGGTTGTATGACTCAACCACTCCGGCCACAGTTAACCGACTTATGTAAAATGAGAAAACAATCTTTATGCACATTACCCGGACATTGGAGTAGCCTCTGTGGTCAGGAAACCACATTGAACCAAGCAAGTGAGCTGATTAGCCTCAGATTCAAACGCAAATTGAATGCCTTCTTTGTCATTGATCGCTTTGCCTCTTCAGGTTTATTGACACAGGACGGAGAGCTCGTGAGCCAGTTTTTGTTTAGAAAACAAGGACTAAGCGGAGGTGAGTGGTGGAGGGGGGAGGGGGCAGGTGAAGTGTTCAGGGTGCTCATTTGATTTGGCTGATCTCGAGATTCCCCTGTCCCTTCCCCCCTCTACTATATACTACGACTACTACTACTGCTGCCCTCTCCCTGATGAAGTGGTCTCCACACTGGTCAATGTGGAAATGAGTGATGGGAGCCATACGGTGGTAAATCAGCAGACGCTTTGCATCATACTGTATGTCAGGTGTGGGTGTCGCTGGGGGTCATCCATCTTCCATAAATGTCACTTCATCACTTGAGAAAATGACCGAGATGTTGATATACACTTTGACCAAAGGTCATATTTAAGAGCTACCCTCAGCCTCAAACTGCACGGCAATACCACTGAGGAACCAAATATTCAAGCGATGGAAAAAACTGCATTCAACGGACACTCAAGCATAACTCTGCACAGAAATACACCACTGCTTCTTCTTGAGGGGTTGAAGGGCAACCGGGCAAA